TGGAAATTGACAACACAAAGTTCCAGCTAAAAAAATGCAGAAAACGAATCGAAAATGGATGTATTTTCTATGTGATCCAACTGGTGCATACGGGACCGAAAACAAACAAACATAGAAATATTCTGATTAACTGCTTGAGGGCACCATGGAGACGGAGGGAACTGTATAAATTATCGTTAGATGATATACTGATTCTTCTGTCAAAGGTGGGATCGATTACCGGAAAGAAGCAAAGACGAACAATTAGAGGCATCTTCACACGAATTTCAAAGAAGAAGCTTGCATTCAATATCAAGAGAAGGCTGATATTTAAGATTTAATTTGATGCATGCATTAATCTGAAGCAAGTGAGAAACACAACAACCGAGTCTATCTTGAAAAACGTAAATAATAACAATTTGGTAAACGATTTGACAGTTCGGATGAGTGTGATGTTTAAAAAATCAAAGACAGTCGGGGAAATATTACACAATCACAGACAGATGCTTACACAAGCACCGGACTATAATTGTGCAGTATCCTGACTTCCAAAATTTGAGAACCACATTGTCTGCAGATTAAGTGAAATCACAGAAAATCAGCTTTTGTGGAATGCAAAAAACGTATCCCATATGAACGAAAGAATTGGAAAGGAAGAAATTAAAAGGACAATTATCACTACCATTGCAAGTATACCACGACCACTAAGGAAGAAAAAAGAAATAAAAATAGATGTCTCTACTTGCATCGAAAAGAAGAATGATATGAAGATTTTTTTTCACATGTCAGAAGTATGGGAAGTAAAAAGAAGATTGACACAATGTATCCTATCACTATTGGACATAAATCCTGGAGAAACTTTTGTGGAATGCCATAAAATCTGGTACGAGAAGACCCGAAAATTCTTTCTGGAATCGAATCACTACGAAATTATACAACAAACGGAATTTGAGATCACTCAATTGGCCAAAAATACGTATCATGGATATGGGTTGAAGAAAATCGCAGAATAGGATGAACAGGGATCATACGAAAATGCGCATACAATTCAAAAAAACAAGGACGTCATCAGACACCGACCAATTGTGTCGACATATAATGAGTCATCTCGGAAAGCATCGAAGGTACTATCAAGAGCTATCAACTTCATGTGTCAAGCATTGAAAGTTGGTTTCTCACTAAAAGGAATGAACCAACTACTACCTAGACTGAAGAAATGCAATCAAGTAGCAAAAGAAACATACGGAGAAATGACTACGATAATCTGCTCCACATACGACGTCAAAGATATGTTTTCGAATCTCGATCACACACATATCTTAAACGTCATGCAATGAATGATGAAAACGACGAAAGAAAACGGAAAAACCACTTGTGTTACAAGATGAGAGGAAAGTACATGAACTTTGGAAAAGCAAACGGAACCTACGGATGGAGAACATTAAAAATTGAGTGCCTAATGGATCTGTTGTACTATGACATCAAACACGCATACGTTAAACTTCAAAGTACAAAGAACATTATTAAGCCAAGTAATGGGGATACCAATGGGGAAGGGCTCTAGCCCACCCATTGCCAACATGGTATGCGCGTTCAACGAGTACAGATGGTGTGCACAAACTGGAATTGATGAGAAACTTATCCACGGTATGAGTTTTGTGGATGGTGTAATGATGATCATAATAGGAAATAAGGAAGATCAAACGAAAGAATTGGAATGTCTGAAATCTTTTCAAACATGCTACCACCAATCTTTAAAACTTGAAATCACATCAGACAACGCGAATACAGAATGAACATATCTAGAAAAAAGAGTGACGAAATCAATCAACGAACAAAATCATAAGATATGATGAAAGTAGCTTAAGATTGAAGGCATGTTGGAAATCGACGACGACAAGGACAACACAGAGAGCGACTGCGGGAGATCGTGAGGATAGATGATGAGTACACTGCAAGGATAGGGAAAGTGGCGGAGAAGGACTAGGAATGAAGGGTATAAATATTGAGGATCGTGGTTGAAATGATTACCTGAGCAGTGAGGTAAAAGGGTAATCGCGACTGGTGTCGCATGCCATGGACATTACGTGTATGCTGTGAAAGTAAAACCTCGCACGTTCTATCTACATTTGCATGTGTTTATCTTTCTCTTTCTCTCTCTCTCTCTCTCTCTCTCTCTCTCTCTCTCTCTCTCTCTCTCTCTCTCTCTGGTAGCCCGCCCCCCCTC